TGGATATTTATGTGATACTTATGTGCGGATATATTAATATAAATGTTAATAACAGTTAATCTAATTGAATGTAACATTCAGACCAATCATATTATATGAACAGAATTGATTTTGAAGGACTTTGTTATTAAACTTGCCATAATTTGCGAGTTTTGCTTAAAAATAAGGGACTTTTCGCTAGGTTTTCATTCATTGATAAGCAGAATAAAGGGTTTCCCAACAATCTTCAAAAGTATTCAAAACTTAATGACATATTTTTGTTGAAAATGAAAGCAATTATAATAATATTTTTGGCTAATCTTTCGCTAATTTCATCCCTTGAATTTTACCAGGGCAATAATGTAACAACCTGTGAGATACGAATACAATTATTATTTAAAAATTGCAAATTCATTTTTATGTATTTTAATAAATTATAGCCGATCTGAAGGAATTGAGAAAATTATTGTTTATTACAAGAGGTTATGACAAATTCGCGCGACCTATACCTAAGAGTGATATCTTCAGGGTTGCCATCGATTACAGTCTCATCCATATATCAAGTTTTGTAAGTATTAATATTACAGAATTTTATTTATTTAAATTAATAAACAATTTATAATAACGTATTACAGGACTTGAGAAGTCAGACCTTAACGACAAATGGTTGGCTATTCTATCAATGGTACGAATATTAAACTTTTAATTTATAATATTCTTGTGAATTTCTAAAAATCTAAATTATGTTGAAGTTTTATTTTTATGTTTCATTATTTAATATAAACTCTAATTGAATGCAATATTAGGCACGACGAGAGTCTGGTTTGGGACACAACAGGTCTCAAACATATCAAGAACTTAAGAGTGCCTTCCGATCAAATATATTTACCCGATTTGATGGCATATAATGCTATGGAATATAATAAGCAAAAGATAGTGAATACAAATGCTATAGTGTATAGTAATGGTGCGGTAATATGGGTGCCTCCCATGACTCTGAAAGCCCTGTGTTCTGTGGACCTCAGCAAATGGCCATACGATGAACACATCTGTTTCATTAAGTTTGGCTCCTGGACTCACGACGGACTCATTATGGATGTCTACCCCATGAGTGAGTCGTTCATATTTTCTCATTTTATAGACACACTTATATTTATGAATAAATTATTTGTTTCAAAATCTAAACGAATGACAAATGTTTGACAGATAAGACAAATCCGGGACTATTGAAGGATATCTGGAAGAACACAGAGTTTGAGATCAGCTACATAAACGTAACCAGGGTAGAAAAATACTACGATTGCTGCAAAGAGCCCTACCCTTCGGTCTCTTTCTTCTTCCGAGTGCAGCGAAGACCAAATCTCTATCATTACATAATCTCTTTGCCGGCATTTGTGGCCATAATCTCAAGTCTAATCACATTCTGGTTTCCCATTCGCTCTAATATTCGTTTTGTGTTGAATTCATTCAGTTTTCTTACACTTACTCTACTCCTCCTCTATTTGGGCACTCATTTCGGATTCAGTTCTCTCGGAGTTCCCGTTGCAGGTCTGATATGCCGTACAGAATATTATGTACTACACAGTACTCTAATGATACGATATGTTATTGATGTAAATTTTATCACTTTTCAGTTCGTTTCCTAAGTTTAACAATACTTTTTGTTGGATTATTGCAAGTATGGTTAACCATTGCCTACAATACATCGCTATTGAAATGTACGATTCCTATGTGGACCATGAGATTCACGAAACCATTGCTTCAAATGTACAGAAACACTGAACACGAGACCATTCAGTTGACACAATCGGAACAATTACACGACACCACTAAGAAGTCCAGTCAACCAAACGCCGAGGACTTGACTTTTATTATCGATAAAGTTATTTTCATTGTCTTTGCACTTACTATTGTTATCAATGCTATCGTTTAAATTTGCAGTCTTTACACACTTTATAATCAATTTTAAATATTTTACTTTTAATATCTCATTTTTGGTAAGTTCTTTAAAAATTGAAATTTCTTAACTATTGTATTAGTATAGATAATTTACCAGTAAGTATCATATCTTAAATTATAAATTAACGGTACATATAATAATACAATTTTAAGTATTGTATTATATTTGGAGGGGAATATATAGTATAATTATTCCTAAGATTATTCATAAATCCTTATATTTGAACAATTAAATTGAAGTACATTTGAATATAAATTATTATTGAATGCAAACTTTTATTTCAATTTGTTTCAAATATACTTTTTATCTATTATTTTATTTTATTTTAACTATTATTGTAACATACCAGTATAACATTAAATGAAATCTTTAATTTAATTTATTTTTGTCTTAAGTCTTTTATCTAT